AGTGAACTCCCTAAGTTTAGCACTTCTTGAACTAGCGTTAAATCTCAATTTTCATTGAAAAAACAACACCTTTAGATAATCACAATTAATGGTACCAGGTTAATCATGATTTAAAGAGCTAAAATGTTAAATAATTTACTCAAAATAATAGCATCAAATAACCAAATAATAAACACTAACAATCATAGAAAGTTCAACCAAACCCAAGGCATAAATTTTAGAAACACATAATAAACATAGAATCCATAACTTGCATATTAACTAAATTTAAGAATCAATTACAAAAGATAAAGATTTGGAAGGTAGAGTAACCCTTGTCACATGAGCTCTCTCCTTGCCTTCTTCATCCTCCAACTTCATCTTCTTCTAGCTTCTATACAAGAAAGGATAAACTAGCTAGAAACTAACTATCCTACACTAACTAAACTAAAGAGCTAAGAAACAAGCTAAGAACTATATTTTTATGGTGTTTCCTTTCTCTCCCCCAAGCTCTCTTGATCCTTGTAAGTCCATGGCCATTTATAGATGAATATAGTCAAAAAATGAGGCTTCAAATATCCCTTTTACAGCTGCTAAATGGTTGTCACACGTCCATCAATTTTTGTGAATTATTGGAGGAGGAAACAAGTTGTACAAGTGGAGAGCAGCCATTTCTGACCAAAATCCGGCCATAATACGGCTGGATTGCTCCCCTGCCTTTCTTTGCAATTTCTGTTCAGTCTTCAAGGCATTCCAATTTTACATCAACTTCAACTGAACTTTTCACGATGATAGAAGCTGAATTAACTCTTGACCAAAACATAAAACTTGTAACCCTTTGAGTTAGCTTTCCAATGCATTAAGAATTATCTCATTTGGATATGTGTAGGCTGAGAAATGACTGAAATACCCTTCGTTACTCAATGTCTCATTTCAGTTTTGACCATAGAAATTGGCTACTGTAATTCGACTTTTTGACCTGGAAAACCTTCAAACTGGATTTTGATATCTTCACAAGATTTGTAGATCTATCTCTTATCTTCAAAATAGTTTAAGAATCATCTTAATTCGATCACTGTAACTCAAGTTATAGCCGAAATACAAAAATGTGTCAAAATTGTCAACTTTCCTTTTCATCCAAATGAGGTTTATTTTCAACTCCTATACAAATTATGGACAAAATGCAAGTAAAAAGTGACATAAACCTCATTTAATTACTTAAGAGCATTTTAAACAAATTATAGCCAAAATGATCAATTTTCTTCCTATAATATAGCCAAAGTGACTAAAAATAATATAAAATGTCATTCAAATATAGCTCAAATTAGTCACTTATCATACGTGATATTTGTTTTCGCTGGTGTATCAACCATATCTATAACTAATCTATATCTACTTTTGTGGTTATGAGATTAACTATAAATTCATTTACTTCTATGAAATTACTGCGAAACAAGCTACAAAAGTGTATTTCTACTTTCGTGAGTGTATTCTCTAGATTTAATACTTCTATGAACTAGTGTCCAATTTTAATTTTTATTGCAAATCTAACACCTTGAAATTATCACAATTAATGGCCAGTTAATCATGATTTTGAGATCAAAAGTACTGAATAAATTAATCAAGATAATAGCTTAAAATAATCAAGAAATCAATACTTAGAAATTATAGATAACTCAACCAAATACTCAAGGCATAAATTTTAAAACAACATCACAAATATAATATCCAAAACTTGCATTAACAAAATTTCGAATCTAATACAAAGATTAAGAGGTGAGGAAAAGAAAACCCTTGTCACTAGAGTTTCTTGAGCTTTTCCATCTTCATCTCCATCGGCCTCCTTGTGGAGCCAATACAAGAGTGGATGCACAACAAAAGTCCTAAACTAGTCCTATAAACTAATAGAAATGAAGAAAAAAGTTATAAGTATTGTGGGTTTGTGTCTTGCCTATAAACTTTTGTTTCTCTCTTTTGCTTCAAAACTTTCTCCCCCTCTAAAACCAACTAGAAACTAAAGCTCAAAAGCTTCCTTCTAAGACTAAAGGCTCCTCTATTTATAATTTTCAAAACTTCTCCAATCTTCCACCAAAATATCTTTTGTGTCTTGAAGAGTTAAAAATGTGCAATGGAGTGAAATAAAGTTGACAAAAATTGATGTTTTGGACCCAAAATGTAGCTGTCAAAACGTCATAGCCATTACAGAAAAGAAAGATGAAAAGCTGATTGCAAGTTGTGTAAGTTGCGCAACTTATTGATTTTTCCTGATCAAGTATACCAAGTGGTATCCGAAGCGAATTTCACTATTTGACATTGTATATTACTAAACACTCTTCTTCAGAAAATCCTCTAAAGAGTATCTGGCACGATTATCTGGTTTGACTCCCTTTATCCGACGCCGTATGCTACTCATCACCCTTTCTCTTGCAAAACATTCTAACGGGCATCCAATTTGGTATCTAACTCGAAATTCATTGTCCGGTCTCGTATGCTTTCATCCAATTTGGTGATGACTTTTTGTAAATAGTCCCGTATTTTTGTTGCTCTTTCATCCCTACCAAAAATGATAAATTTTAACAAGTAAAAGGGACGAATTCACAAGTCTTCTCAAAGTTACTCATGGACATCAAATATTGTCAAAATGGTCTTTCATAATTTCTTAGGAGTTCAAAATTAACTACAAATGATCTAAAACAACACAAACTATTAGGTAAAATGGACACTTGTCATGAATGTTGGCCTCGGATCTCTGTCTAACTGCAACTCTATGTTTCCAATCTGCGTATCCATCGATTCTATTGGCAAGACAAAATTTGTCTCCACCATATCCCTTAGATCATTGACTACCAAATAAGTTCAAAATTTAATGGTCCAAATTTGACAAGTTTCACCACTAAAAGTTGAAATATTTGACAAAAAATTTCTTTCCTATCATGGTTTTGAACTTATAAAAGATCCTCACCGAATACATTCACTCTCAGAAAAAGACTCAAGCCCTTAAGATATAGGCTCTAGTACCACATTGTTAATTTTTTGGGGTATAAATTAAGAAACAACACTTTAGTGTTGCAAAAAATACTTATAAGAGACTTGTATTGAAGGTAAAAATAAGTTTATGTTATTCATTCATCAACTCATTATTTATAGTGATTACATGAAACAAACTAGCAAATATCTACATAACAATTATCCAGAAAAATCTCAATAAAACATAATCTTTTATTAGTAAATCTTAGCTAAAATATTTGTTAACAAACCAACATGATCTTTGATTAACAAATATCTTGACTACAAGATTTATTCTTCTACTAACTAAATTATTTTGATACCAAACATAATCTAAAAAAAATCAGTAGGAAAAGTTGGCATATCTCAACAAACATGTTATGTCTCCTGTGGTGTCGATGTGCTAAGAGAATCCCTTGCCTTAATTTCATGGTGGAGTACCGGAGAGTGGTATAGCAGAGGAGCATGTTGGCGTATGGGTGATGGAGGAGTACGGTGTTGAGGAGTCTAGGATGAAGGTGTATTCGACTGGACCTGAGCTCACTGCCTTCAGGAACATGCTGGTTTTTTTGGAAGGATGAGCTTCTTCTGGTTAGCAAGTCCACAAAAGAGTTTATTTGTGTACCCTCAGTGCATGCCTGCAACTCAAGAACTTTGATGTTTTTCTTGGGCATTACACTCGTTTTAGATCTGTAACTTACAAGGAAAGTTTGATTTCAATAAAGAGAGCCAAGTGACAATCCTGGAAACAAATAATTTAACTCTCCACTGCTCTCATGGAAAAGGGGCAGGGACAGAAGTCCCAGTGGATTGTACCTTATATGTTTACCATCATAGAGTATTTTGTATATGTACCATCATATGTCCATGCTTAGTTCACCCCTGCTCTATACGCTTTAAGCTATTGTCCATGCTTAGTTCACGTACTTGTATGTTCAATCTAAGATTTGGTATGCTACTGTCCTTTGGGGAGCACAATAAAGGTCCATTCTTCAAGCTTGAACTTCATAGCTTACTTGCTTCAATGCTTAAGATTGAGAATTAGAAGAAGGTAAAAATTGTCAAGTTTTTTTCCGTCGATTCCTTGAAATCTACTTTTATTCATGATATGTCGAAAGGATGATTTTCGAAAGATGCAAAATTGATACAATGACACCCTATGTTGTTCTTTGAAGGTCCAATTTGACAGGAACCAGTGTAGTCCTCCTATTGGGTGTAGTACAATTTCGATTTTATGCCCGTGTGAGAGGAGTGCACTCTTTTGAGGCATAAATTGTGTATGGCAAAATTTAATCTTCTTATTAAATGATGACGACCGATGCATGCACTAAGACTGTTCCTAAATTTACTTATGTTGCCCCAGATCCATCTTAGAATACAGTTTGATATTGTAAACAGAAGAGAAGGGCTCTGCAAATATGTCAGAAATGAAAGAACTAGAATAATTTACCCCATGTCCTATTCCAAGAATAAATTTACCTTAGAAATGGTTATTGTTGCAGAATTCAAGGCAATTTTACGAGAAAGGCCAGCATAAATTGGACAGTTTTGACTTCAAATTTTCCAAATAAGATCAGTTATGGAATGATATTTCCTCCGGATGAAAATTATGCAGAGTTCCCCTGTCCTCATTCCGGGGGTCAAAAAAACTGCTTTTAGTCTCCTTTTAGTCTGCCTAAGCAACTGCTTGCTTGATTCGGCAATGTATTTGACAATCCTGTTTGCTATTGATAACTGCTTGTAGACACTGGAATGTCTGTTTCTGGCAGCTATACGGAGTGCAGTCTCACCTTTTGCACTGGATTCATGCAGCAGGGAAATAATTAATTCAATTTTTTTCAACTGCAAATGAAGAATCACAGAAACGGCTAATAAGTAGTCAATCCAATTACTTTCCTTGGGGACTGAGAAGCCTGTATAACGCAATGGCAACATGGAAATTAGAATTTGGGTAGTGTCGGTAGTGTCTTGGTAGAAGGTAAAGGAAAAAGCTGGTGTTGACGGTATCCCGAGCATTTTAAAGAGTAAGTGTTCCCATTAACAACATTCACTTCATTTTACTACATGAAAGACCAGTACAAATCACCAACTCCGGAACCTAACAATTGCAATCCGAAGTCTTCCACACCACAATGACAAAATGATCTTACACCGATTTCCAGCATTTCGGAGCCAAAAGTAGTAATCTTCCGTTGTAAAAATCACAAAAAATCCCATAAACACAAGAAATGAAGTGATTCCTGAATAACATACTAAGGCTTTGATTAACGGTGATGATAGCACAGCAAACAGGCCAGAAACAAATGCTGTCACCATTGCCATCAGGGCGACTCTAATGTTCCAATGAGTATTACTCTTACTGTACCATAACCAGCGTTCACAGTCAACTTCTGAGGGTGAAAACTTAAATTGTAGAAAAACTGCTGCTGAGGCGTATGCCAAGGCAATCATATCCGCAATTACAAAGACAATAAAAGATGGTTTGTTTCTTAGAACTGCCATGCCTTTATTTGGACCATCACTACTTTCATACCCTCCTGGAACAGTAAAACCAGCCGCAAAAGTGACCGTTACTATCAGTGCAGCAACTATCAAATAAGTGTCATCTTTTCTTTTCGAATCTTTTGCTAGTTGATTACATTGGTTGCTTTTGTAAAGTGCTTCTTCACGCTTTCCTTTCAATCTAGTTCCACTACGGCGAAATCCTCGAGTAGCACCATATCTCTCCAGCTCACCCTTGATTACATTCTGAAAGAACACGAGATTGAAAAATGGCAGCAGTTATTAATTTTTGCACAGAATCAACTGCAGAAATTCATAAGAAGTCTGAACAAGTACTGAATAGCTGAAGGTACTTACCAGTCTTTCAGTCTGATCAGGAGCTTGTACGACCACATCTAGCGGAGTGAAATTAGCAAAATTGAAGGCATTCTTATCTGCATGGATGTGACTTATGAGATTACAGCCATCCAATTTTTTAGTAGCAGCATAAAGATGGAGAGGAGTATTTCCACCAAGGTCCCCCTCATTGATGAGTTCAGAAGCCCAAACGTTGTCTAAGATGAAGTCCAACAATTGTTTCTGTTCTTTTGCCACAGCAAGATGAAGAATGTTCTGGTTATCGCCATTGCACATCTCCCAACAATCAGGGCAGTGTGATAAAATTTCTTTTACCACATTTAAATGCCCATACTTCACTGCTACATGTAGGGCTGTCTTGGACGTTTTGGATTTAGTCATGGAGTAAACCTGGCAAGACCTGATATAGGCCACAGACTTATCTGCTGAGAGTAGTAATTTTATAACTTCCTGGTGACCAAGTTTTGCAGCAATATGTAATGCAGTCTGTCCATCACGATCTGCCTCCTTCGTGAGATTTGGCAACTTGCCTAATAGCAATTTCACGCATTCTGTGCAAGTGCAATCACCAGATTGAAAATATTTTCTCACTGATTCAAGATTCACTTCTATAAGAACTCCATGTTGACTAAGAGAAGAACAATAAAGAATTTCAAAATTGTCAAGGGATTCCTACACATCTATCCATACAACTACTAGTTGGACTAAAAAAATTTAACTCATGAAACCACCATTTTTGTTTGTTTTAACTAAGATGATTACTGAACAGAGACTAGAGAGAGTTTAAGACATAATATGCTCTTCAATTTACTCTAAGCTAAGCATTACCTAAGGAGTTCCCCATTGCTGCACGATGCAAAGCCGTTGTAAAATGAGGACCATGATAAGATGGTGACTTACAAGTTCCTAAAATCAGATCCACAATATCGTGATATCCCCTCTCAACAGCAAGATAAAGAGGGCTCTCCCCTGCCTTGTTCCGGGGCTGTGGAAGCTCATCATCTTCTTTTACCAAGAGTTCCACAATGTCATAGCAGTTTGTCCTTACAGCCAAATGAAGGGCTGTGTCTCTATTGTCATTAGTCAGTCTAAGCATCTTTATCCACCCTTCAGAGTTATGTTTATCAGGCTTTTCACCATTTTTTGCGCAATCAATAAGAGCTCGCACGACACCAGAGTACCGGTTTCTAGCAGCTACATGCAGGGCAGTATTGCCTTTTGCATTTTGTTTGCACAGCAAGGACTGGTTTATTCCAAGAATCTGCTCAACAGCATATGAAGAGTCACAGAATTGTGCTAATATGTGAAGGACTGTATTTTGGTTCGGAGTAAGCTGAGAATCAAGTTGATCTGCACACCGTCTGATAACATCTGAATCACCCGATTGGGCTGCTTTGTATAATTGAGGATCCATTTGCCTTTTCTGAATAAGTAGCTTTTGCACCACCTATTTATTGTCAAAGTAGATCGCAGAAGGGATGGATGACCTGACATGGGAAGCTTTCAAGAAATTTCTTGCAGGAAAATTTTCTACGCTATTGAGAAAAGATCCACTAGTAAATGACTGCGAAAAGGAAAAGGGGCCGCATTCTTAATTGTTTACACCACAGTGAATGGAGGACAGAGGATAATCGAGCTGAGGTGAGCGTGAAACCAAGGAAAGCAACCAAAAATGAAAGATTATCAGGAGAGAAATGCCCAGGAAACAAGAAAGAAGAGAAATGACCTCGAAAAAGCTAGGAAATTTTAGTGTTGATGACTTGGTGGTGGATCTAGGTCAAAAATGGCAGGCAATTACGATTTTCTGATTTTCTTTTTCTTTTTCTCAGACATTCTTTCTTTTACTTCACCTTGATATGTGAAATCCACCTACTGGGCATGGCCACTGATGAGAAAATTACGTTTGACTGTACAGTCATTCTTAGCTGAGTCATTTTTTGAAAAAAAAAAGAAAAAACTGTAACACTTCTTATGTATGACATAGGTAAAATAAAAAGATATTTTAAAAATATATTAATGATATAAATAAATAAAAATTAACAAATAAACTACAATCCAAATAAACTAGTTTCCGAGGCAGTAGACTTTGCCAACCACCTATTTATTGGTCTGTGCTTTGTTAGCTGTCCTTGATTTCTGTGCTTTCTTAGCTGTTCTTGATTTATTGGTCTGTCACAACTTTACCACAAATATGGTCTAAACCACCGTACCATGTTGTAGAATATCCCGTATTCCCATTAACAACATTCACTTCATTTAACTACATGAAAATACAGTACAAGTCCCTAATACAGGATCCTACCAATTGCAAATCCAAGTCCGCCACCCCACACGGGCCACACTGACAAAATGATCTTACACCGATTTCCAGCGTTGTTGAGCTGAAAGCAGCGGTATCCATTTGTAAAAATTACAAAAAATCCCATAAACCCAAGCAATGAAGTGATCCCCAAAGAACATAGCAAGGCTTTCATTATCGGTGATGAAAGCACAGCAAACAGGCCCGAAATAAATGCAGTCACCATTGCCATCAGGGCAATTCTAATGTTCCCATGTGTAGTAGGAAAACTGTGCCATAAGAAGTATTCACCCTCTGAAGGTGAAAACATATATTGTATAAAAACTGCTGCTGAGGAGTATACCAAGGCAATCATATCAGCAATTACAAAGACAATGAAAGATCGTTTGTGTCTTAGAACTGCCATGCCTTTATTTGGACCATCACCATTTTCATAGCCTCCTGGAACAGTAAAACCAGCCGCAAAAGTGACTGTTAGTATCAGTGCAGCAACTATCAAATAAGTGTCAGCTTTGCTTTTTGAATCTTCTTCTGGTCGATGACATTGGTTGCTTTCGCAAAGTGCTTTTCCACGCTTTCCTTTCAATCTAGTTCCACTACATCGAAATCCTCGAGTAGCACCATTTCTCTCCAGCTCATCCTTGATTACATTCTGAAAGAACATGAGATTGAAAAATGGCAGTAGTTATTAAATTTTGCACAGAATCAAGTGCAGAAAGAGTTCATAAGAAGTCCGAACAAGTACTGAATAGCCGAAGATACTTACCAGTCTTTCAGTCTGATCAGAAGCTTGTACGACCACATCTAGCGGAGTGAAATTAGCAAAATTGAAGGCATTCTTATCTGCATGGATGTGACTTATGAGATTACAGCCATCCAAATTTTTAGTAGCAGCATAAAGATGGAGAGGAGTATTTCCATCAAGGTCCCTCTCATTGATGAGTTCAGAAGCCCAAACGTTGTCTAAGATGAAGTCCAACAATTGTTTCTGCTCTTTTACCACAGCAAGATGAAGAATGTTCTGGTTATAACCATTGCGCATCTCCCAACAATCCGGGCAGTGTGATAAAATTTCTTTTACCACATTTAAATGCCCAAACTTCACTGCTAAATGTAGGGCTGTATTGGACGTCTTGGAGTTAACCTTGCAAGACCTGGTATAGGCCATAGACTTATCGGCTGACAGTAGTAATTTTATAACTTCCTGGTGACCAAGTTTTGCAGCAATATGTAATGCAGTCTGTCCATCACGATCTGCCTCCTTTGTGAGATTTGGCAACTTGCCTAATAGCAATTTCACGCATTCTGTGCACACATCAGATTGAAAATATTTTCTCACTGATTCAAGATTCACTTGCATAACAAATCTATGCTGACTAAGAGAAGAATGATAAAGAATTTCAAAATTGTCAAGGGATTCCTACAGTACCTGTCCATACGAGTATAGTTGAACTAAAAAAATTTAGATAAAACCACCATTTGTATTTGTTTTAACTAAGATGATTACTGAATAGAGACTAGAGAGAGTTTAAAACATAATATGCTCTTCGATTTATTCTAAGCTAAGCATTACCTAAGGAGTTCCCCATTGCTGCACGATGCAAAGCCGTTGTAAAATGAGGACCATGATAAGATGGTGATTTACAAGTTCCTAAAATCAGATCCACAATATCGTGATATCCCCTCTCAACAGCAAGATAAAGAGGGCTCTCCCCTGCCATGTTCCACGGGTGTGGAAGCTCATCATCTTGTTTTACCAAGAGTTCCACAATGTCGTAGCAGTTTGTCCTTACAGCCACATGCAGGGCAGTGTCTTTATCGTCATTAGTCAGTCTCAGCATCTTGTTAGGCTTTTCACCATTAGAGTTATGTTTCTCAGGCTTTTCACCATTTTTTGCGCAATCAATAAGAGCTCGCACGACACCAGAGTACCGGTTTCTAGCAGCTACATGCAGGGCAGTATCACCTTTTGCATTTTGTTTGCACAGCAAGGAGTGGTTTATTCCAAGAATCTGCTCAACAGCATATGAAGAGTCACAGAATTGTGCTAATATGTGAAGGACTGTATTATTGTTCGGAGTCAGCTGAGAATCAAGTCGATCTGCATACTGTCTGATAACATCTGAGTCACCTGATTGGGCTGCATTGTATAATTGAGGATCCATTTGCCTTTTCTGAATAAGCAGCTTTTGTACCACCTATTTATTGTCAAAGTAGATCGTAGAAGAGATAGATGAATTGGCATGGGAAGCTTTTAAGAAATTTCTTGCACGAACATTTTCTACTACTATTGAGAAATGATCCACTAGTAAACATGGTTCAAAGTCGCGGTCGCGGCCCGGACCGTTACACATCAATTTCGGCATATCGATTACGATATCGACGAGATGCAAATTTTGAAGTATTTATTATTTTAAAATTTGTGAATAATATTAAAAAATATACTAAACAAAAATAATAAAAAAATTAGCAAAAGAAAATCTGTAAAATATAAATTTGCGAGTTGACTTGAGATAAATCGAGGTGACTCGGCCGAAACTATCCATATCGCAAATTTCTCGGCTGAGTTCTCGGCGAGTCAAGTATTTCAAAATTATCTCATCCTGATATCGTACTAGAGAGATCTGTTCCATTGACAACTCGGTCGAGTCGTCTCGGTCTCGGCCGAGACTTTGAACCATGCTAGTAAATGAATGCGAAAAGAAAAAGTGACCACATTCTTAATTGGTCACACTTTACACCACGGTGAATGAAGGACACAGGATAATCGAGCTGAGGTGAGTGTGAAACCAAGAAAACCAACGAAAGCAACCAAAAATGAAAGATTATCAGGAGAGAAATGCCCAGGAAACAAGAAAGAAGAGAAATACCCATGAAAAAGCTAGGAAATTTTAGTGTTGATGACTTGACTATGGATCTCGGTCTAGGTAAAAAATGGCAGGCAATTACGATTTTCTGATTTTTTTTCTTTTTGTCGGACATTCTTTCTTTTACTTCATCTTGATATATGAAATCCACATGCTGGCCATGGCCGCTGCGGAGAAAATTACGGTTGACTGTACACTCATTCTTAATTGAGTAATTTTTTGAAAAAAATAAAAAATATATTGTAATACCTTTTTAATATGATATATATGAGATAAAAAGATGATTTAAAAATATGTTGATGATATAAATAAATAAAAATTGACAAATAAACTACAATACAAACAAACCAGTTTCTGAGGCAGTAGAACTTTGCCAACTACTTACGGAGTCCAATCTTGAATTTCCATGATTGATAGTCAACTTATAAAAGTTTCAGAATTGGTTCATCAAGGTGCGCTAGCTCCTGAAACATAGTTAGAGAGAGGCAATAAAGTCACAACTCCATACTCTTCCATCCATCATATATCAAAACTAAGGGAGGCAAGTACCATGGAATACACAAAAACAATCGCGCAATACTCCAAGACTAGTCCAACAGCTTCTTCCTCCAATAATTTGGGGAGGTGGAATTGGATGGCCTTCTTCTTCTTCTGCCAGGTCAAATGACTATATGAAGTCAGAATAATGAGAATCTTCAACTATCCAATGAAGAGCTCCCTGAAGACTAGCCTCACAAAATCAAGCTTTATTAAAATGCTCAGGCCATTTTTTAGCGATTGGAAAGGGGCAGTGTTTTCCCTACAGTTCCCCAGCCGTCATCAAATCCAATGGTGTGAACCTGAGATTCTGATTTTCTTGGCTGCCACTTTTTGGTGAAAATTCTCAAGACCTTGTACTGGCCAGTTGCTGGACTAAATCCAAATCCATAAACAACTTCACGAGGTCTTTTCTCAATTTTTGGTTAGGGGAGGAATGCAAACTCATGCAGTTGCAGATTCAAAATAACAAGAGTGCACTTCTGGTCAGAGTTAGAGATCATAGATAAAAAAAAAATCAAGCCATTACAAGAGCCCAAAACCGTTGCTCTGTTATCTGAGATTTCAGCTGGCATTGCAAGAATTTTCTTACCACCATGTTGAGCGTTGTGATCAGAACCTGATTTAAGCTCAAGAAAGGAGAAAATGGAATTTCTATTTGAAAGCACTAGACTAATGGAGCATTTAGCAGTGAAGTAAGTATTACCAAAATGAGGATCTGAAATCGAGTTATATATTTGGAATGTAGTAAAAGATAACAATTGAAATGCAACAACATATACTACGTGTATGTTAGATAAGAACAATTAAATGTTGATTTTCCTGACTCCACTCTCAAAACCCTCCCTTTTCTTCTTCCAGCTTGTAAGACTTATTAGAGTCTCACTTGAACTGGGAAAAAAAATCTCACTTGAAATGTAAAAAAAGTTAAGTAAGAACTGGCTTTCTTGTAATTTGTCAGAAAAACCTCACCTCTACGTTCACAGAAAAGTAACAAGCTGCTGTGACCTTGCAGCACTATTAAAGCTGAATCTTGAAAAAAAAAATTGCCTAAATTTTGCATGTGTGTCACGCATTCGATCGTAATATTATATATACAGTCAGTACATACGAAAATTACATTTTACTATTTAGATCGACAAAGTACTTTTACAATTTTCAACTTGTATTTCTAATAACCAAAGTTTGGTTTGGTTACCAAACCAAGTAGATTCACACAATCCCTACAGCACAATCATGGACAATTTACAAGATTTCTCTACCAACAACTCATAAAATTACCCCTACAGACAACATAGCAAATTGATCACGGAAAGGATTTGTCAAACTAAATGAATAAATGGAAGGGGGTCCATATAAGCAATTTATGTAGAAAATATAATTGGTTAAAAACCACCTACAATTGGGAGTCCACAAGAGTTTAAACTTCCTAATGTAGAATTGAGAACAAATCATAGGATTAATTCTTAAAACCTAACAATCATTTACAGAAAAATGATCAAAACTTCTTAAAAACTCGTGACAATCCCTGCGCGCAAAGAACTGGAGAAGAGTCAAAAACTTTGTTAGCAATCAGGAGCTGTAAACCACAACAAAGCATAACAATAGAGTAATTTTTCAGCTATTATTATGATATACTCCAAATATAGCACAGGATCTCACAAACAAAATTTACAAGGAGTTATGGCAGGAATATTTACTGCTAGGCAATATGACTTACTGCTGAACTATAAGAAGTGAATCCATACAAACAAGGCTCTAAAAGGTCACTTCACCTTTACCACCTTCAAATCTACACCTTTCATAGCAGCCTTCAATGAAAGAAAACTAGAGAAATGTGGAGCTGCTGTCAAGTAGCCACCAGCATTATGCTCAATCTTAAGTACAGTACATTTGCTATCTCTTGGACAATAAGAAACTAAAGCCCCATGATCAGTAGACATCAGTATCTCATCATTTCTCCAAACAAAAAGAGGTAAAAATGCACCAGCTTTTAGACCAACTGGGATGTAGCTTGCCAGAACACTTTCCTTAGTCCATGAATTCACAACTCCATAATCTCTCATCCACCATATATCAAAATTAAGATTGGAAGTACCATGAAATACACAAAGAAAATCTCGTAGAACTCCAAGACTAGTCCAACAGCCCCTCCCTCCAATAATTGGGGGAGATGGAATTGGATGGACATCTTCTTCTTCCATGTCAAATGAATATATGAAGTAAGGATCGTGAGAATCTTCAACCATCCAATGAAGAGCTCCCTTGAGAGTAACCCCACAAAATCGTGCTTTGCTAAGGTCCTTAGGCCAATTTGTAGCCACTGGATGGAGGCGGCATTTCCATATAGTTCTCCAGCGATAATCAATTCCAATTGTGTGAACTTGAGCTTCTGATGTTTTTGGCTGCCTTTTTGTAGTGTGAAATCTCAAGACCTTGTAATGGCCAGTTGCTGGACAATATCCAAATCCATAGACGTCTTCACAAGTTTTATATATTTTTAGTTTAGGAAGCATTGTGTATTCTCTCAATTGCGGATTAAAAATATAAAGTTTGCACTTCTTCAGAGAATGGGAGATTTTAGATAAACAAATCAAGCCATTACAAGAGCCTATAAATGTTACTCTCTTATTTGAAAACTGGGCAGGTGTTTCAAGAATTTTTTCAATGTTAGGTTGAGCATTGCGATCGCAATCTGTTTTGAGTTCAAGAAAGGAGCAAATGGAATCTCTATTGGAAAGCACAAGACTAACAGATTGTTGAGTAGTGAAGTAACTATCAGCAAAATGAGGATCTGAAATCAAGTTGTACCAGGTCCTGCAAACACACTTGATTGATATAACAGTGGAGCTTGGGACTCTGGAAAAAATATTCACCAAAATGAAGATTGGCAAATCCCTAATTCCAGTAGTAGTACTCCAGTGTTTAATTGCTGAAGCATCTTTGATGTTGTTTTGCTCCAGAACAAAGTTAAGCTCTGTATCAACTCCCTACCAAGCAACATGATAGTAAGGTTAGAGGAATAAGATTGAAATGGCTATTAAAATGCAAGCTTGTCAGCCAATTTCAGAAATGAGATTCATAAATTCTTCTCACAGAGAGAGAGAGAGAGGAACAACAAGAACAAGAAGAATCTAGAGCAAACCTGTCCATAAAAAAATACATATAATCCTGAACCATGAATTTGCTCTCACAAAGTACAAACAACAAATGTCAGATCTCACTTAACATTGCTTTTGTTCCTATCATATATTCCTAAGAACAAGAACGCATGAATTTCAGAGGGTAGTAACAGCATAATCCAAAATGACCTTAATGT